GAGGAGAGAGCAGTACTGAAACAGTGACTGGGAGAAGTCCCTGGAAAACCCACTCTGGGGTGAAACCGTAGGTCTGATTTGACATCATCCCCTACTGTCATGCACACACTACATCTGCATGAGTTGAGTGGAAACTACTAGAAAAATAAAACATTTTTATACCATTTTGCATAAGTAAAAAGTTAGGTAACAGCACAACTAAGTAGAAAATGAGTCAGGGTATGCATGCTTAAAAAGTTGGGAATTAAAGAGGTTTAAACTGGCGTAGAGGGCTTTCTGCTGGATAAAAAGGAACAGTTGCCTGGCTAACAATAAGCAAAGTCAGAGGAACCAGATTTGAAGTGAATAAATCAGGTGTATAAACAAAGGCAGGTAGTGCTTTGAAGATGTGCTAAGACATCAAGCCATCTGCAGTGTTCTGGAAGGAATGATCTGGAAAATACAGATAATCCCCCCCACCCGTTTGGAGCAGCAGCTGAAGGCTGGAAAAGCATCAGCAATATCTGGCATGGCACTAGATATGAGGCATTTATGTACTAGAGTTTCTGGTATTTCTCCCTAAATTCAGGACTTCACTTCTTCTCCAAACCTAAACATCAGAGATGATATCTCGTGGCTGGTTGCTGACATTCACAGACTGAGAACTAGCTGGGGGTAAAAGATAATCTGGGAGTTTGAGTTGTTGGAGAACTATGACAAAGCTCTGCTTAACTATAGACATGGGAGTAGATCACAGAGTGTATATATGTGTATTTCTGGCTGCTGGTAGGGGGCTTTCAAGAGTCAGGAAAGTTCTTCTAGATGAGCAGTAAGCAGTGGAAATGGGGGAAAGGCAGCTCTGTGAGGTGAGCAGGGAAGGGACGGAAGAGAGTTTGTTGTGCACAGCACATCATCAAGCATATGGCTTTGACTCATACTTTAGTAGGGCAGTGCCTATATCCAGGCATTAGCATCCATTTTGCTTACAGCCTTGTAAGCCAGTACGATGTATTTCCATATATCATACACGAAGCTCCTCAGGGGAAAATTCTGAACTTATTACCATGCAAATCCAGCTGGGATGCAGCTCTCTTACTTCACACCCTGCCTACCCCATCCTTCCCTTCTCTGCCTAAAAATTGCTTAGGTGTGCAACCAATACTTTTCCATATTGCCTCTTGAAGTATGTATCTACCTCCCAGAAGCATTACTGGACTTGTGCAGATGGGTATACTCACTAAACTGTCTTTAATAGTTACAAGTCCACACCCTGAACTTGCCTATCACATACAAGCAAATAAACTAGCAATGTCAAATAAACAAGCATGTTCAGATCATGATTATGATCTCTCAGTTCTTGTTGGATCATTATTTTATGACTCAGTAGTCTTCTGTTGACTCATGCTCTTGAAATTATCACCTTTTTCACTGAATTGTTTGAATGGTATGTAACAATGATGGTTTTATTTACCTATTTAATTTTAACAGGCTGATTCTTCAGAACAATTTAAAAGAAAAATTCATACTCAAGATAAAAAAATTCATCTGTTGGGCTCTGCCTCTGCATTCTTTGTGTCTTCGGCAGTTTTTTCTTCAGCAAAATCACAAAGGTACTCCCTGAAATCTTATCTCCAGAGTGAATTTCTCATTAGAAAACCTGTATTAGTGTTTTTTCACAAAGGTTACCATTAAAAAATATCACATTCATCCCCATTACTGCATTTGGCATCCCATAGTTAACACCACAGCATGTTAAGCTTCACATTCTGGCAATTGCTGCTAAATGTTTGGTTTTTTCAATCATGACCACTGTGGGAGCTTTTTTATAGTAGAGGAAATGTAAATACTACATAAAAAGATCAAAAGGTGAATCAGAAACTTATCTAAATCACAGTAGCCCCAGATAAAGTCTGCCCATTGCCGTAAATAGATTACCACAAGTAATTTGGGAAAGAGTTGATTGTGGAAGGAATCTTGCATCCTGCTAAAAACCCGTATATACCAAACTCAGCAAAGATTTTTTCAATGGTTAAAAACTTTGCATATATAGCCATGAATACAAGAAGACCATTCCATTGTATTTACACAAGAACAAAAGAAAATGCAAGCATTTCAATAGCTTTGCTGTTACCTACTTCCTCTACTGTTTTGCTAATTTCACTACCTTAACACATATTATTTAACTCCAACACATACAATGCCAATAGATTTAATCCTAAAGGCATTTGCAGCTTGAATTTCCTACAGAGGGATCATAAATCTAGAATGGAAAGCCTGAAATCGTTAAAGTCACATATTTATAAAATCATATTCAATTAGGTTAAAAAAGTGCAATTTCTGTCATCATGTCATAAAAAGATGTGTTTTTCTCTCAGATCTACTGCAAAGAAAAGCTCCCTATATTGTTACAGATAGAGGCTGTTTTCAATCAGTTACAAGGAGCAATCCAATTACTGGATGGTTTAGTGCAGTAACTGACTCCAGACTAATTTAATTTCTTTAGGTCTCTAAAGATCAATTGATCTGATTTGTTTCCCTCCCCAAAGGCTGTTTAGGAAAAAGCAGGCTTAAATACCTGGAAATGAAATACAAAGCTCTGTATGCTTTCACACTACTTAGGTCATTTGGAAAAGCTGGAACTCACGATAAATGAGTGCTCTCTTGGCCCTAACATCACAGGATGCTTTACGGGAGGCCATTAGGATCACTGCACCACACTGTAGATTACTCATGCATGTGCTGTATGCAGGCCTGCTTAGGGAAGAGTGCATGGAAAGTATTTTCACAGCTTCTAGATAACTATTCCATTTTCAAGAGCTGCACAAGTGTGCATTTGGCCTTCATAGTCTTTTCCCTGGCAAATAAGTATTTTTCTCCAGCAGTTATCTTACAGAAATTACCACATTTCCAACTAGGCTGAGCAAGAGTTATGTTGCACTATTCAATATTCACCTACTTGTAATGCATGTTGCAATAGACATCAAGTAAGAAATTTTTCCTCTTGTCATATCTCACTTTGCTATTCCTTTTGTTTTATTTCAGATTTCTTTAAGCAATTTTGCTGGTGCTAAGATGAAATCTATAGAACGAGTGGGCACTTAGAGAATTACATTCTCATCTGCCCAAATATTTTAATTCCAGAACGTAATAAAACCCTTGGTATTTCTGGACTATATTGTATAACTTTGGAAATTTTCAAACAACCTCTTACCAGCCCTCTTGCATGTTACACTTTTATTATGTCATGATAATATGTGTTTTGCAGCAGGTTTTGTATTTTAAAATACTATTGTTTGCTAATCAGGGCTCAGATTTCCAATTCAAGTCAAAATAAGACCTTAACCAAACTTGGACTCTCAAATCCAGAGTTTTAATGTAATTTCAATACTTTTCACATTCTGTTTCTTGTATTTATTGTAGGCTTCACATTTGTCTGCCTTATCTTTCATGGTAACATTCGTGCCTGGGCTCGGCTGCCTGTTTCAGACTCTATTCTTACACTTATCAATAAACAAAAGGGCACTGCAGTTTATGCTCAGCATTTCTGACTCCATGCCATGTGCTGTTATAATAAGATGTCCTCTGGAAAAATTCCCTTCATGTCCAGCACCACGATAGTCCCTTCATCTGCACAGAGGTAACTAAGTTTTTCTCCCAGCTTATCTGTTCAGACTCTTTCCGCCCTTGCAATGCTGTATCGTTAGATGTCTCCTATCTGTAAAACAAGGAAATCTCTTCCAACGGGTCCTTTCTTGACTATTTTTTGGATACAAACCTGAGCTTTGGATGTTGTTTACCTCAGTATTCTGTCAACACAGCATGCTATGCTATTTTTAATAAATCTGCCTTTTTTTTTTTCAGTGAAGGCTTTCACTTAGGAAACAAGTTTCAACAACTTTGCAAGTGTGCACTGCAGCTGCAAGCTTTCTTTCCCCAAATTACTGTTCTTTTACCCATTTACTCAATGGATCACTAACAATCCAGTCACCAGTAAGGTATAAAGTATATCACTATTTCCCATCCATGGACCTGCTTAGATAGATGTACTTTTGAAATGCTGTAAAGACTTTGCCTAGCTCTATGAATATGACTCCAGTGAGCACTTTGTCTCCTATATGCACCTGTGAAAGATGATTCACATACACATCTGGATATCCCCACATAGGAGCCTGGAGGGTTTTGGCCTCTCCAAACTTTCTTTCATGATTGTGTGCTCATAGGAAAATTTCGATGTGCTATATCCATCTCCATCAAGTTCTCTTCCAGCCTAAAGGACACAGGCAGCTTAATTTGCTTCATTTGCCAAACTATTTGACACGATATCATAAAAATGTGATGTGCTGAAAAGCTGCCAAGAGATTGAAGTTTATTTACTACTCAGCTGTGGGTAATGCTTCTGTCCCTATGGCAGCAGTTGCTTGTAATGAGCTGTACAGACACAAAACTCAACAGTTTCCAGATAAAACTTTCCTCCAGTGCAGCCTGCAGTACAATTTTTGTGAAACAAAAATGGCACCTTTGTTGTCAGAGTGGGAGTTATTGGATTCATCCTGATGGCAATAAATGCTAATTCAGCGTCTGGGACTGCTGAAGTGTATTTTGGGAGCTCTCCTCTCTTCTTTTCACTGTGTTGAGCACTAGGGAGTGTAAAGATGTTTTTCACAGGACCACTGCCCTTGTTTCCCATTGACCCAATTCACAGCCCTCAACAGGATTAAATGGCATGATAAGAAAAAAGCTTTTCATTTTGAAGTTGTAAAACTGACCCTCTCCCCCCTTCAAAAAGCCCCCTTAGGAAGAGAAATATATTGGCCCCAACTGGAACAGATGCCAAAACTCAAAACAGCTCTTTCTTTATAAAGTTTATAAGTATTTTTAAAGGAGGTGGTGGAGTCTTACTATATGCAATAAGATAACATTAAAATGCATAGCTTCTGAGGAGTTGAAAGGATGCTTTTCCTACAAACTGTCTCTTCTCTTTATCTTATCTACATGCAAAGTAAACAGAAAGTCCCCATTACCTCTCAATATCAGTGAGTCTGGAAGAGTCACGGAATCCTTTAGCGAAAGGGTTGCTGTCAATTTTCAACTTAGTTATCTGGAAACACAGAAAGGAGCAACATTACATGAATATAGTGTTTGCAGCGTACAAAGTGTCAACCAATCCATCCTTCTGAATTCACTGCTAATTTTATCCGTGTTCCTTGTGTGTGTCTGTGTGTGTCTGTGTGCAGCTCTCAAGGCACTGCAAAGCTGAGGAGGCAAACCAGGGTGTATTACACATATGGCAATGGAAAGATCCAAAGACACAGCAGGCTCACCCTTCATGTTGCCCACAGCAGGAGGAACTCACCCACGTACAGCATTACAGCTTCCAAATACTTTACCAGCATCAATCAGGTTGTCTTTTCCACAAGCAATGCAAATAACACTGCTAACAGCTAAGCCTTACTGGTGGAGTTGCACATGAACTACTAAGAGCCTGAACTAGGAGCTGCCATCTGCAGACCTGAAGACATGGCTTCAGTTCAGCACCCCTTTTTTCTTTTTTTTTCTTCTTTTTTTTCTGGGATGGGAAGGTTATCAGCCAGGCCTACCAGCCATCACATTTGGGCAGTTTAATTGATTCTGTATGAAAAGAGGTTGAGGAAGGGAAGAAAAAATTTGGGGAGAACTCATATTTAAAGTGACTGAACCTGGATTAAAGGAGTAACCCCACTGAAACTATCAGAGCACTGTAAAATGAGAGATCTTGCAATCAAAACTCTTATTCGAAAGCAGCTGCAAACCTATACAAACCTGTCCAGTCATCCAGTCAGCCTTCCTATTCTGACAGAGCAACACATTGACCAGGAGTCCCTCTGCCACAAAGTATCCCCCTAACTTTGCAGTGAAACTTCTCAGGCATATGGTAGTGGCTTTCAATGTGTTTTTTTGGGAAGCAGGAAAAAAATACATTATTGTCCTTGCCAAATTTTCTGTATGTCCAACCAATTTAGATTTGGTGAATAAAACCTGAGATATCATTACAATATTTGGATTTTCCAGCCACTCTCCTTCCAGGAGTTAAAAATAAAATTGTAAGTGGGAGTTATAGCTTGATGAGGTACAACACAGGACCATCCTGCAAGGCAGTGAATGCGATCAACTCCAGAGTAAGCCCATGAAAATAAACATCTCTCAACATTTCATATTAAGAGGCTTTGTCAGCCTAAATTTCCTCCAAAAAAACTATGTTGAGGAGGCCACAACGTCCTTTTTAATACCTGGGCCTCAAGACTCAGGAAAGAAAAAAAAAAGAAAGGATCTTTTCCAAATCCTCAAACAATAAAGTGCTCTCATCAGACAAAGGTATTTCAAAACAGGATGCCTTCTCCTCCAAAATAAAAAAAAGTAAGGTAAAGAGGACAACTGAACCCAACTTTTAATTCTGAGAAAGAGGTCTTCTGGGAGGGAAATACAGAGAGGAAGGGATGTGCTGACAAAGACAAAACCTGAGTTTTTAATTGATGGTCTTCAGTGGGCTGATCAAACACCATGGGACCTCAGTACTGGTCAGGGGTCTGAGGCTGTCCCATCATACAGGTACAACTGATGGAAACAACCCTGCAGCCTTATCACAAGGACCTTGAAACAGTTCAGAAAGTTAGTTATAGTCTCATTCTAATTCCAGGATATCCATAAGCCCTTGACTCACGGTGATGTTGCATAGAGTGGCAAGTCAGTCCCTCACGTACAGTGAAGGTTTTTATGGCAGCATTATGAAAACTACATTGAAAAAAGACAAGCTCTAACTAGTTCCATTGACTTAGATCACCAACACATCAAGCCAACTGCACTACAGAACAATAAGGATGTCTATTCATCTCTTGAGCATATTTTCACCAATCAAACTTCCATTTTCCTAATATTAAAGTTTTGGTATGACATCACAAGAGAAACTTTTTGTATCCACCAAATCCAGATGAGACTCACAATCATTTATGGCCATATTCTTCCTGAGAGACTGTCTCACAAACAATCAGAGAACATCTGCTAGAAAGCATTTTAAAATGAAATCTGACCTACAATTCAACTCTGTGGCAGTGGTTTGACTGTTTAAATAAATGCATGCCCTTTAAATCTTAAATTATGAGATAGTTTGTTGAAAGTGTAATGTATTTAGCTTTTATCTAATAACCTCCAGAAATGTAATCAATCCCTCCTTAAAACAGTTCTGAAAGAAATGGCAAAAATGAAAAAAGGCTCCATTTTCATTAGTCATAAATAAAATGACAACATCAGCCTCTAGGGGTTCCGGAGATGTTCCATTGAGAAATTTTCCAGGACTCAATGTATGTGTTTTGGGAAGGTTAGTTTAGAAACATCTCTGGTGTAAATATCATCTGTAGACAAAAATCCATCCTACAGAAATAAATTCCAGGTTTAGCTGGTTTTGTACTTGTTACTATTTTGCTGGTTTCTATAGAAAGTTACATGAAAAAATCTAACTGCCTGTCCAAACATCATATTCTTGAGATTGCCAGGTGCTGAATGTGTTTTCTGCAGCATTCAGATACAAACCCGAGTTTAAAATCAATACATCGAAGCCTTAAAGCAGGATATGGTGTCTGTGATAGGACTGACTTAATATTACTACTATTATATTCAGAGCTTCATTGGCCCTCTATGCAGTAGTTTCCTTTCATTCATAGCATTTCAAAACCAGTTACTTTTGCTTCATATTAAGAAATGCCGACTTCTTTAAATAATCCATCAGGTACATTGACTCTGTGATGCTGCCTGCCCACGTGCTTGGAGAGTACTTATATTTTTCTTAACTTGGGGAACTAAAGAGGGAAATAGGTTTATTTTCAAAGTGCCACAGTCATTAAGCCCTTAATGCATGCTCTGAGTCATGCTGAAGGCAACAATGTATTTCTACTGACTTAAATATTAAAGCCCAGTCCACTGTCAAGCAGAGCCTCTGGTCTCTTATTGTTTATAGACTTCCTAAAATTACTCATTAGCAATCCATTGTTATGATCGCCTCCATTTTGTATATATTATTCACTAGCATGCAAATTGAAATTCAAACATCTGGATGTAATCTGGGCAGCCTCTGAAAAGCATATCTCTTGAGTGATTTTCCTTACGTTTGAGCCTTACTGCTTAATTAGTCAACTTTTTAAGCCCACGAAATCATCATGTGCAAACCAGAATCTCTCTCAGCTCATAGCTTGTGGCATGAAAGATCACTGCAAATAAGAATAGTTCTTTAATGAGCTATAATTAGAAAATGACTAAATGTTAATATGCAAACAGCTTTGTATAGACAGAAGGGAAGACGAAAGAAAGCCTCTCACTTGTCATATTTACTCTCATAAATAATCCTTATGGCTCTTTGAAGTCAGTAGTACAATACCCATATATTTAGGAATTACTCCTGAATATGAATAAGATTGTCATGGAAAGGTAGGTTATGTCAGAAACTTTCCTAGTTTCGATGGGGCAAAAAGGAGTTTTTAGCAGGGTGGAATTTAGTTATAACTGTAAAAATTAGCAACTGTACTCACCAACTGATTCTGGTAGGCGGTAACAGCAGTAAAAACTGTCTCTGGAAAGATAAACGTCCTGAACTCTTCTGACTTCAGATTTAGCAAAGAAGCCGTGTGATCCTTTTTCTTAATGATGTGTACCCTTGGCTGGTACTTGTGCATGGAGTTCAAAATGATCTGCAAGAAAGAGCAACAAAGCACTGTCCTGAGAGGAAGGTTGACAGGACACTTGAAGGCTATAAAACCATAGGGGAAAAAAACCCATCTTATTAACACTGCAGGGAAGACATCTGAAATCTAACTAGCCAGGGGCTGGTTTTCAGAACAAAACTCTCCTGCTCCTTTGGGTAGTTCCAGGAAATGAAGGTGGAAAAGCAGGCATCCCAGGAGCTAGTCTCCTCTCACTCCTACGCCACTGGTGAGCATGCATTTTTTGAAGCATAAATACCTGTTCCTACAGATGAGGTGTTTTTTACGCACAGAATTAGTTACTCGTGGAGTGTGCCCCATTTGGAGGTGTAAATATGTAACTCCTGAAAGCTAATGACCAAGAGTCCCCACTTGCAAAAATGTGCAGGTGCAGAATGAAAACAGTCACAAATCCCTCTAAAAAAAATGACAGAAAAAATAAGGCCCATCCAAAAACCCACCACCAGCAGCAGCCCAAACCGGCTGACCAAAAATAAAACTCCATGGATCCTTTCACTGTGGCAAACCTTTAAAACAAATTACTTCATAGATGCTCTTTACCGCAGACTACCAAAAATGAGACCAAGGAGGGAAACTAGTACAGAACCCCAAAATGACAAGGTTTTGCTATTCTGTCCTCATTAATAATTGTTTACGAGCTCGCAAAACAATTCTAAACCTACCAAAGGTACCAACTAACCAATTTCAACATTCACTGGAGTCAAACCGAGAGTCCCACTTGCTTCAGTTACCACTGGCTGGAGGCCTGTTTGGCTGCCTCTAACCACAGTATTACAATATAAGAATTAAATACAGAGCTCGACTCACACCAACCCTTGTTTTGGATATAATCACAGTCACAAGACGAAATTGGCATTGGTGTGGGTGGTTCTATTTTGCAGGGGCCATAACGACATTACAGTCAGCTCCGTACATCTGGAATAGCTAATGTGCATTCCTCAGGAAGCGTTAACTTCAACTGAAACACAACAGAAGTGGTGCAGTATTTCATGCTGCAACTCAGTCAACGAGAAAGGTTGCCCATTGCACTGGAGTGGAGAGCTTAGAGACAGCTCTATCATGGCTACAATTTCGACCAGCATCTTCTTTACTGCTCCTTTGGGGCCAAATATTACCAAGACGCATACTGGGACTTTGGGGGAAGGCATACAGCATCAGGAAAGTCATTACAGTGACAGGGAACCATTTCCCTTAAAATGTTGCATGTCTGCTTTTACCAACTCAGTCCTTTCTCAAAGCACTTCACCGTTTTATACAGGCACACACACAACAGCCATGGACCTTGCCTTTAATACCCTTAGCACTTTTCCGTCTCTACGTAAAATTTTTTCTTACCATCTTAATCACTTGGAGTGCTCCAGGCAGATGGAAAAGACATTTTAAAGGAGGTTTATGCATGGTGATGAGCTTACTGAAGGGCTGGCCCACAGACCTTGGTACTTTCCATTGCCTTTAGTGGCCATGATATCGACACCAAGGCGTTACATCTGAGCACCAGCCGAGTGGAAGGAGGAAAAAGCTGTGACAGAGCAGCTCTCACATATGCCCTTGTCTTTACTCCTCTGTGAATGCAAATTGTGATAAAGAAACTACATTTCTAAAACCAGATCACGTAATCCTTTATGAAAGTTTTCAAAAAATTAAAGTGCACAAACATAACATCCCCTGCCATGATGCTCTACCTTGCTCGTTCTCACCAGAGGTAAGTCTGGTCATTCAGGTACAAAACAAGTACCAAATACATCCAGAAGGTCACAAAAGATCCATAGCCAAGGTTAAGGTCACTATTTCCCTTATGTGAGGGTCTGTACATGTAGTGCTCCACCTACCCCCCAACACAAGCAGCTAATGTTGTAGTACTCACTGATAATAAAGTGAGCACAAAGGTACCCCTTCATATCCATTCAACTTCTTGTGTTAGGACCATCAAAACAGCCCAAACTATTTAGATACACAGGGTGGACCTCACAGAGTAGCCTCCAAGAGTGGTCTCAAAGTCCAAGCAGTGCCCTGCCCACATAGTGTAGCTAACAGAAAATCCCCGATGCCAGCTCTGTGATACTTACACTGGCATGCCCCAAAAGAAACATCAGGTACACATATACTCACAGCAGCCCCCCAGCCACAGGCCCCCAGCCACCCCATCTACCTTTGTGCTGACAGCCTGCAGCTGGGCAGATGACCAGGATCCCTCCTTACAGGATCCTGATTGCTGTAAGGTCAGGCAGGTTTGTAGGCATCTGGCTCCCACTGGCTACAAACCAGTCACCAGAGGCAATCTGGATGCCAGCTGCAAACTTTGAAGGTGGTTTTGAATCCAGGAACTGTGCTGTGAATGCCGCTTCCATATTTACCAAAGAATAGCATTACCAGGTAAAGTTTTCTTTCCAAAAACATGGAAGTTCCTAACTTCTGCGTGGTTGACTCTAAAAAATCCTGGGCATAACTCCTTGTGGCTATTCCAAAATCTCTGCTTTCACAATTATTCGTTGGCCGTGTTCACACCTTTCTTTGCTTTTGCAAACATTCATGTGTTTAAGTTTTGTTATTGTAAATGCCAGAAAAGCAATTACAATAATGTATACACTCATGGTTCACCTCACCAGAAACCAGAAACTATGCCACCCCAACAAAGTGCAACCAGAAGTCCTAAAGAAAGTACTCTATGTGAAAAACATCACCAGAAATCTGGAGAAAAAAGTCACATTCATAGATGTTTCACAGCCAGAAAAATGGGAATTACTCACTCAGCTATAAAAATCCAGAGATAGGAGCCATTTCCTTCCTCTGGTAAGGATATCTGAAAGCATTTCCACAGAGCAAGCTGTATGTCATGCACACAGAGATAAGACTTCTGCCTGATGCTTGGGGAGAATATGTGCATAGCTACGGGGTTACACATGCTGCTGAAGGTACACATGCAGAAATACTTGCCAACTCCAAAAGTCTCGGAATAGGAGAAAACAAACAAATGCTAGAACAAACAAAGGCCTCTCTTCTCTCCAGAATCCTTTTCAGGAAATGACCACCTTACAAATAAAACACCACAATTACCTGAACTCCCAAAACTGTCTTCTAGAGGTTGAAGAAAGAAAGCAACTAGAACAAGATGGAATCAGGTTGGATCTAGCTTCTCTGCCTACAACTTGTATCCAAAGGCATGTTTTAGGTCATCCAAACTTCCTCAGAAACCAACACACTTTATCAAACATAACTAAAAACTTCTCACCAGTAAAGACTGGCTCTTTCAAACTCAAGGGAGAGATTTTAGATGGTGCTTCAGTTCTCCTCTTCTCTTAGTACACAGGAGTTCAGAAATATCATGGGCAGTAGCACATGATATCCCTTCTTAAAGGCTCCAGAGAATTAATTTCTTTCTTTATTCTACTGATCATCCAATGGTGGTATTTACATAGCTTCAATAAGGTTTCATATAAAACCTGATACCCTAATTTGGAACATAAAAATTCACAAAATATTAAAAAGGGAGTGCTCCATGAAGGCATAATACCTGTCAGGCAAATCTCAACACAGGATCAAGCCTTCAGGGCTTATTCTTAACTGAACACGCAAAACTTTCATCCACGTTGCCTTTGTGTAAAGAATGGGATCAACCTCTACTGCTTCTTTGGAAATTAATGGGAAGGTTGTATCTCAAACACTATGGATAGTTTTCTCCCACTGCCTGTATTTGAGACGATTATGTCTTCTTGCTCTGTCATGTCTCTGTTCCCGACAGCTTCTCCAACCTACTTCTTCTTTATACTCGTCTGGGCTTCTGGGAACTGCACTGCTCCTAACTAGCTTGCAATATACTGCTGCAAGCCCTTTATTAGAGGCACACATGGCCCCTGTTATGATGAAAAATGCTTCTTTTTAAGTGCGCACGTATACTGCTCTATCATCACTCGGTGATAGAGCCCACAAATCTTCAGCTTTGCCCTTATTATGAAATAAAAGAGAGGGGAAAAAATACATTCTCCACCAGTCATGAAAGGAAAACGGTGGGAACTGGATTCAAGAACAATGTACCCACAAATGGATCTTTACAAAAGAACATCACAAGGCTTTCTGAGCTTTCTTTTGTTTGCTTGGGGTTTTTAAAATGCTTTTGTTCTTGTTATTTCCGGGATGTATTTTAAAAGATCATGGCTGTGATTCAATTCTCAGGTCCTGAAATTAGTAAAAATTCTCTTTTGGATGAGAAACATTTTCACAGAACGCAGGTCAGACAAATGGCTGCTGTTTCACACAGTCAATAAATACCACACTAGGAAAGGGATTTCTGATACATTGTATATCCTAATTATTCAGCTGTACAAATTAGTTACTGCTACAAATGCTTTAGAATTCAAAATCACTCCTCTCTTCCCAACACCTCATTTACTAACACTGCCTTTAATCTCTCTCCTCTGAACTGCCCTGTTCTCAGCCAACAACTTCTTTAAATCCATCCCCCTGCTCCTTCTGCCTTCCCTGAGAGGACCACCAAGCCCAGAGGCAACACTTTTAGTTTTTTTCTTTGCAATTTGGACGCCCTACCGAGTCAATCCTGCACTTCACAATCACTTTAGGGGAGAGGATAGGACAGACAATACCTTTTCTTACTACCTACCGGTAGACAGTCAGGTAACTAAAGGAGTTGTTCCCTTTAACGGAGGATAGCAGTAAACCATGGCCAGCAGCTTTGCATCCTATTTACCAGCTTCCAGCTTCCAGGCTTGTGACAACAAACTGGAACCAATCAGATCTGGGACCTGCTCCTCTAGAGGCCCAAGTCTAGACTTTAACACTTCGACTTGCAGTTAACCTACAGTTATCTCAAGGGCAACTGAGGCACATTTATTCTTATAATTCTATAGGTCTTGTTTTGGTGTCACGTCAGTATTTTCTTCTGACTCTATGCCCAGGCTGCAATGAGTCTGGAAGTAAAGGAGCTCTAGCCTGAAGTGAGAGGGAGCTTCAAATCACACATGTAAGAGCACATGGATTTGCTGGTCATTGCATGTGGCAGAGCATACTGCCAAGTCACAAAATGCAAGCAGAAGCACGAAAAATGGCTCATCTGCCTTACTTCTATCCCTTACTTTGATGCTTATATCCACCCTGAACTTGTCTCTGATGGATGTTCTGCCTCTGATGGTAGCAGGACCATGATTCGAACGGTTGACTCAGGCTCTACCTTATAAAATAATAAAAAAACCCCTGATTTTTAAGCTACCTATTCCTCAACAACAGAAGAACCCAAAGGAGCCCTAAAATGTGTTAAACCAAACACATTCAAGCTTCACACAACATCTTCTTTCACTGTAGTACTAAGGGCTGGCCAAGAGAGGTACAATGTGGGAGCCATAACAACCTTTCCCCATTTCAGTCTCTCTCCTGCAAGCTTAGCCCTGTGGCACAAGCGAGCAATTCCCCTATGGATGTTCCTTTACCCATTCACACCAGGAGTGCTACTCACGTGGCCGTGCTGATCCAGCTCGTTGTTGGTGAGTTTCACTTTTTCAAAGGACACCATCTGCTTCAGCAGTTGCTCTCCTGTGAATGGGGAGTCAGGGTGCACATACAACCTAAAAAACACAGGGAGAAGGTCTGCTCATAAAAAATCCCGCCTCTTGGTTTGTTCTTGGGCATCACCTCCATATGAAATTAAAAAGCACATATCATCTTGCTTTTGGGATATGCAGTAGTTTCACGGACACAGATTTCCCGACAGCTTAGGGTAATACAAATTGCTGCGAGAACAAGACACCATCTCCCCCAAATTAATTAATGCCTGAAAAACAGCTAATAATGAAAGACAGTAAAGCAGATGACTTATTTAGTTCACTGGAACCTGATGAAGAATCTTGTGTCTGAGTGCTAGACTGCTCCCTAACCATACCTATTATTTTATCCAGTTATCTAAAATGGAGACATTCCCTGTTGTGTCTTTTCCCAAAAGAAAAATTGATCATGTCTTTCCCCACAGCTGTACTAACAAGCACTTAAAATAACAATGACTACAGAACCAAGAGAAAAAACATAGTGTCATTACAGAGATAATGGGGGAATGTAGATAAAAATGCATTTTTCTTTATTTGTAACGTTAAGCTGTGATAATGATTTTAACCTGCACTCGATCACACGTTCGCTGTGGTGACATCTGTTTATAAGAAGTTGAAGGCTGCAGTCCAGCACAGTGGTCTGACATGAAAAATTAATTGCAACTCTGTAATTAACAATCCACCACTTGGGAAATTAAGCAGAAGAAAAGGAAACAAGAAGACATGTAGGTACAATGATATATACGTTATGACTAGACTAATTACAAGTGCCAGGCTATTTAAAAACAATGATTTTATAGGAATAATATATTGCTGAAAATTTTTAACTCAAATGTTCTTTTGTAATAGTGAATTAAGAGCTGGACTAGACCTTCAGCTAGTGCAAACCAGCCCTGTTCTGCTTCTGTCTGCATTAGTTATCACTCCCCGAGGCCTGACTCTCATTTTGGGTGATATCTTTGGCCACACGAATGGATTTCTTCCATTAGGTGGGTGGGACACACTGAGATGTGAGGTTAGAAAGATAAACATTTGTTCTCGTTGTTGGGCTATGATTTTAGAATGGAAAAACCACTAAACGATTGGGTGTAACTCCCCAATAGGCTACACTGATCCCTAGTCAAGGAATGACCATACTAAAGACGCTAGGGAGCACAGCTCTTTTGCTCTAAGACGATGGAGATTTGATCCTGCACTCTCCATTTTTGCTGGCAGAATCCCCAAGTCACAATGAAACCAAAGTTTTACAGGCACAGCTCACTTCAGATGTGCAGAACGTTTTCCTTACATTGATCTGAAGCACAGCTTGGCTGCTCTAGCTACATTCATGAACGGGATGCTAGGCCTGTTGCAATAAAATATTCCTAGCATGTAGGTGTCCTCACTGTTATTGACTCTGCTGATTGCACTGCAAGGCTCATAAAAAATGATGATGTATCAGAAAACCTAAGACCTGGAACCCTGTTATGTCAAAAGAATTCTAGCTTTCATGAAAATTAATTTTACCTTCCTCTAAAAAGCTGTGACAATCTCAATCTTTAGAGTCCTGAATTAGAGAAGGCAAAAAAGAGTCACAAAAATGTCCTCCAATGTTTCAGCCAGCCTTGTGACATTTCTCTTTGGAGCCTGACTCCTAATTTTGAATGTCTGGATAACTAATAACATTTATTGTGATCACAGAATGTCAGGCTCAGCAAGATTTGGCTAATTGGGACCAAAAAGTCAAAGTATTTCAAATATGTGCGGGGGAATGAGTAAAGACTTTCATGTGTCGAAAAGCTGAGCACAATTGTTTTACATCATCAGTGGTTAATGCTTAGCACTGCTTTAAAACTACCAATTGCCTGTACACTAGCAGAGTGCCAACAGGGAAATCACTGAAGGATGGCACCATAATATCAGTTACAGAAGTGTAATAACAGACCTAATTTTAATTTACCCATTTCCTGCACACCATTGATTCCAGTGCAACACGGGGCTCTATTTGGTGAGCTACACCTATTTCACACACTTCTCCTACAGCCCAGGCTTGTACCCCTCAGAGAAGAGGGTTGACATATTGCTTTCTGAAGCCAAAGTTGTCGGCAAGACCATGAGCAAATGGGTTAAAGAGATAAATATGCACATTCCAGTGCAGCACACAAGGCTTCCCCAGAAGCTTGTGTGGGCTCAGCTGCCTAAGGCCAGCCAGATGTGAGGGCCTACTTGCTTTGACTCACAAAGGATTTAGGAGCCATATTTGGGTATGAATTTGCTCCACAGTATGTGATGTTTCATGATATGTGCAAGGTTTAGGTACTGCTTCTTTCTTGCATATTTTGTGATGTGATACCACACTCCCTCTATTTAGTTTACCAGTCGGTCTGGTCTCACAAGCTCCATGCATGCTACTTTTATTTACCATAGGGTCTCAAAGAATTCGAAAAATATAATACCTTTTAAAGGCTTCCTACCTAGAATTCTCTGTGTGTAAACACTATAATTTCATTAAACAAATTACTGTAGACAAATATAGTTAAAAAAAAGTGACAAACTTTTGAGTAAAGAAAGGAGGTGATAAAGGAAGATCAAACAAAAGTACATGCTGAAACTTATTAAACTAATGTTTCACACAGTCTTAGCAAAGTGGAAGACAAACATAAAATATCACATAGTAACTGTATCCCCAGATAGCACTTTAGAAGATTTCCAAAAGTGTCTCTGAAAAGTATTTTTATTTAAGTGCTCGTTGCAACATAAACTTGTCTTCAACATTGACAGCAGGAAGACAAGGATAAAACTGGTCTTAATAGAAAGTTCCCTGAAGGGCTTATCTTTCAAACAGAATCACAGAATACTTGTTAATTTGAAAAAAAAAAAAACAACAACAAAACAAACAAAAAAAAACCCAAACAAAAAACAAAACCAAAAACAAATACAAAAAACACGAAACCCCCCAAAACAACACAAAACTGTCTTAGTGTTGAAAGTTATTTTTATAATGGAAAGAGCAAACCACCTAAGGGGTTCAATCCTGCAAATTCTTACACCCATGCACAATGTAACTTCTGAATAATTCCCCTGTTGTCATCGTGCCTGTGCAGATGCAGGCAGTGATGTGTGTGGGGAGTAAGCACCTTGTTACCAGTGCCCAGACGCTAAGCACACATACGCCCCTTGCTGACACTCCTCATTAAGGGTTCCTGTTACTGGAGCAGGACTAAACTCGTTTCAAGATGGGAGGAGTACTACTTTTAATCTGTTCAAGCAAGACTGAGGACTCCCACCTCAAAAGATGCATTAAGACTGTAGAAGAAGCACTAGTAATGCAAACATTGGCACACTGAACCTCTTGACATCCTTTTTCTCACCAAAGAGAAACATAGAAAGGACAAAGTGCATAAATGTGTATTTAAGTACTGTTCATACAAAGAAAAAGTGATCTAAGCCTGTGGTATGATCAATAGTCTTTTTGGCTAAGCATCGTGAAAATGAAAGAGGAAAGGTGAACATTTATACATAGAGGCAAAGTATCCTGAAAATGGAACAGCACAGATACACATTTGCACATCGGGGTACTGATCCACTGAGGACCCTAAAGAGCTACCACAGTACAATGATAATAACTATGAAACTTCAAGAAGGTTTGACCCCAACTATGAAACTTCAAGAAAGTTTGACCCCAGCTTTAAAACACTCAACAGGGCAGTTGCTAATTATTACAAGGATCAGTTTCCTGTCTTATGTTCTTGTATTTCCTTATTGAACTAGACTGTGCCAGATAAAGTGCAAATTAGCATCTATTTAAAGGTATCCCAAAAGGGGCATGAACACAGAAAAAAGAAGGGGACAACCCTGCCTTAAAACTATTTCTGTCCTTCTGTTATTTCTTCTTTTCATGCTCACTCCTTTGGAGAAGGATCCATGTTTTTTCTTTGGGTTTTGATCAGTGCCCATTACAATACGTCAAATGAAGCCCTCGGACGTTAACCACATTGCAAAAAGGAGTTTTTGGCCATGAAAACAAAGCCGACATAACTCCTAGGTTGCTGTCTTTAATCACAGCTTCTCTGGTTGTGCTTTTTGTTTGTTTACTTCCCTGAGCAGCCTTCCAGAGATCACCAGTCACCAAGATTTCAGTTCAACTATTTATATAAGGAAATTGTGCAGTATTTCATGCCTATACTCACACTAACTAAAAAAAATTTGTTTCCATTTCTTGTGTTTCACTTCTAATTTCTACCTCTGTAATAGGTGAGTTCTTAACCCCAGGCTAAGCCACCTGGAGCAGATCTGTATCCCTGTGCAGAGCCCTTCACGAAAAGTTTCTTTGAAGCCAGAGAGGCATCCCCACTATTTTCATATCTCCGGCTCTGACTCAGCAAAGCCGTTCGACATGTGCTGCAGTCTTACTGGACTTGGGGACTTAAGTACGTACTGAAGTGCTGGGCTGAATACAATGAAGTGTGGGTCTCCGCTGAAGTGCCCTCCCATTGTACAGCCTAGTGCTGCAGCCTCAGTTGCCCAGTGATGAAAGGAATCAGCCATTAATTACATTAGTTGAATGATTTTAGAAATTGAATTTCTACAGCATTTCTTTCTTTATAGAAAAAGGAATTTATTTTAGAGAATTTATTTGATTTTTTTTCCTGATGTCTCAGAATATGTCATGATTTCTTAAGCAAAAAAGAAATATCTGTGCTGTAGAACCGATCTGTATTTTACCTGCTGTCTATGAGATGACTAAAAGCAAGAATAGAATTCTTGGTTAGCAAACGCTGGATAAGTTAGAGGAATAATATAATTTCAAGCATAAACAGCACTGAACTGTAATGTAGTATTTCCACTTTGGCTTGGCTAGTGGTGCTTGGATTGGTTTAAATTATGGGGTCAAATACTGGGGGGGGAGGGGGGAGGGTGAGCCAAGAGACAAATAATTTTTTTTTCAAGCGTTCTTATCTCAATAAAGGTAAACTTCATTAAAAAAATTAAAAAAACCCCAGCATTTGTATAAAAGAACCCTTAAACAAATTCTGTTCTCAAACTAACTCAGTATAAATCAAACCTCAAGCAGAGGTTTGACGCCAGATTCTACATCACAGAAAATTAACCAGTTTTGCAACCAACTGTTGAGCATTGACTCAAGATCTCAGAGCACTGTTTGCAAACAGCATGGAAAAATCAATAGGAAGTATTTCTTGAAGGAAGAAAAAAAAGAAAAGTAAAGAAAAATAAAAGATCAGAAGTAAAATCTACAAACCTTGCAGGGAGAGGAGGGTCAGCTTTTCCGGCCACTAACCAGGAAGACCTGTGGTAGGCATATCTATATCTTTTATTGTCCACAGGAACTATATCCATTAACACAATATACTTGGCCTCAGGATCCACTCCCGAGAAGGAAACCCTGATCGTTGGAAACATTCTCCTGAAATAAAGGTAAATCAGAAAATAAATATGCGGATAGAGAACAGAAATAAGAGAGCTTCTGAAAAGCTGCTACAAGTAAGAATTATATTTAAACCACCTGTAAAAACTAAAAGCATCTGTTGGTTCTGTTTAAGCATGATGGAAGTTAAATCTTGCATCTCGCCAATGGGCAGAGAAAAAGCAGCTTGAAATCCAAATGATATTTGGAAAACAAAAAGGAAAAAAAAGGTAAAAAATAAAAAGTAAAGGAGAAATATACTGTTTGCCTGCTAGTTAAAAGTTCACAGTGATTTCAGAAAATAGTTGTACCTAAGGTACATACATCTTTAGAAAGTTTTTTTTTTTTTTAATTTTTATGGCATCCATACTACTGTTAGGGAAATATTGCAGAAATTATTTCCGTTATTATTCTCACATATTTTGGATAAGTGTTCTTCTAAGCCTGCTCACGATATTTTTGAGCGGAATTTTCAAAACTAAACTTTCTTTTCGGTACTTAAGTTTTGACAAAACACAATTTAAAAGTGTAAGGTTTTGTTGTAGACAGAAATAAAGTTAAATACCTTTGAACAATTTGAAATGTTGAACTTCAAATTGCAGGGGGTTTACCTACTTTTTTTTTAATATTATTAAAAAAAAAAATGCCGATAGATCTCACCACTTAGGGAAAAAAATGCCGTCAGGGAACTACATTAATAAAAAGTAACTTGGGCGATTACATCTGGCTTCTCCGGACTCCGTTTAACTGACTCAAATACAAAAGCTTTACTGACGAAACGGCATAGTTTGAGATTACGAGAAGGCGTGGGATTCTTTTGCGCGTTTTTGCAACCGAGTGAAAAGAACAAACCAAGTCAAGCTCTGACCGAATTACTTCCCCACGTCCTCGCGTTTCCCTTGGTCTGTAACAACCCAGCCCCGCAAAAATCACTGCGGTGTTTTTGTTACAGACCGAATTAAAAGGGAAGCAACATTTCTACCCATCCACTGGGACCCCTCGGATGGATTCCATCCGCCGCGCTGCCGCCCCGGGCCGCCTCTCCCTCTGCCCCAGCGGGGTTCCGTGCACCGCACCGCGCAGCGCCGGGCCGGGCCCGCCGAGGAGCTGCGGCAAATAAGGGGCTTCACCCTCCTCCTCCTCTCCCCTTAGCCCAGCCTTGCTGCTCTCCCGCTACAAAACCCGCGGGAGTTCTGTTATTTTGCCTTATTTCCCCCTGACCAAAGCCAGGGGGAAAGCTGCCCGGAGAAAAAACCCGAGGCTGCCCTGCCTTACCTCCCGGATTTGGTGATGATCATCTCGGTACCCAGTTCGTGAAACTTGTCCCAGAGCTCTTTGGTCTCCAGGCTGCAGGAGATTTTGGCCATCTCCTCGCTGGGGATGATGGGGGTGGTGGGTATGAGGGGCTCGGTGCACAGGGACGAAGGGCTGCTGCTAAAATCCCCGTGAGGGTCCAGGCTGGATAAATCGCTCAAAGGCTGGGCGCAAGAGGATTTCTCAACGAATTGTTCTGCAGAGTTGGGGGGGTGGGGGGGGGAAGAAAAAAAAAAGAGAGAGTCTAGGGGGCATTCAGCCAGGACGGGGCGACCGCCGAGACAAGCTATTTAAATATGTATGTATATATATATATATACATAAAAGGACATTTGTCGTTCATCTGCCCTCGTTCTGCCCCAGCACACTCGCAGACCCGCGCTTGTTCTTTAGGCGTCAGCTCATCATTTTGAGAGCAGCGGTGGTGATTTTTTGAGATGAGCTCCAGGAAGAGCATGGAACGGCGCCGCTCTCCAGAGGCTCACTGGGAGAGATGCCGGGGGGCAGCGGGGGGCAGCGCGACCCCGGCCGCGTCGCCGCCCGGCTGTGACCCTCTCTGCGGGGCGCGGAGGGGGCAGAGCAGGCCCTGCGCGCTGCCCCCCTGCTAACCCAGGCGTTCCATGGAAAGGTCACTAATTCTCATTAAAACGGGAGCTTTGGGCGCCGAGGGGCTGTTGAGGACCGGGGCCACGCTGGGGTAGCGCTGAGGCTGCTCCTAGATTGCGCCGCTGGCAGAGCGCGCAACTCAGAAGCGCAGGCTCCGCACTTCCTCCGCGGGGGAAGCGAACCCTTAATACTAATTCAACGGCGAGCGCGGGCTCACCCTCCCGGAAAACCAGGTCTGCCTTGCCTCCCAGCCGTTTTGCTGACGCTGAACAAGTTCCTTTGGAGAAATAGGCTCCGGGGGAGCTGCGTGCGGCCGCGCAACCTACGTGGGTGCAGTAGCTGCTGCTGACTCTGCCCTCCCGCCGCGGCTGGTCCCGCCGGCGCTGCCGCCCACCCCTGCAAGTCCCGGGAAGTTTCTAAGGGCTTCAGCAGCTCCGCTTGGAGTTTCCCCTGTAGACCAGGCCGGGAGGGACCAGGGCTGAGCGGGTTCTGCCTCGGCCCCATGCTGCGGCACGGGATGCGGCGACGGATCCGCCGCCCGGCGCCGAGGAACGGGTGGTGCACGAACGCACCCTACCCCTCCAGGGAAAGGTTTTACCCTAATCTCCACTTAATAAAAGTCGAGTTACAGGCAGCCGTTTCCCTTCGATTAAAAGCTGAATGGCGTGTGGGATGGAGTTAAAAATTTTTGAAAAGTTAAATTATACACGCGTTTTCAGGAAAAAGGAAAAAACAAACAAACAAACAAATCCCCACTAGCACTAACACTACGTTTAACACAAACTGTTGTAAACATACCGAATGGGAATATTACAACGTTCCCGGCCTACATTAGCACCTAGACTAAAAAAATAAAGTTCACAATGAATCCCTGGACTATGTGAAATCTTCTGAGACAGTTGATTAGATGGAGCAGACGCTGAGGGAGCTGCCTTTTCTAAATTCTTTTAAGGTTGAATGTAATCCTGTTCATTGGCGCCCTGAGAGCTTAACACATTTTTTGTAGTTTTCTGCGAACTCCTGGATACATGCAAGGACGACAGACCTCAGAAACTCGGTGGGGAGGAGGGTGGGAGATGAGGGGAAGACGTTAATGTTTTTTAAAAACTTTCAGGATTCTGAATGGAGGCAACCGAATAGAAGCGAAATCGCTTACCCAAAAATCGCAAGCAATACTACAAAAATCCTTCCGGTCTATGAAGAGTAAAACAGCCTATATGAGCCTACATCGTGGAGCTGTGGAGCAAACGGATTTCCAGGTCTACGCACAAGTTTTATACCCCTTGTAAGCCTAGGTACGATAACGGAGAGTCTTCTCATTTGACTTCAAAAACAGAGAGGATTTGCAATAAATATTTAAGAGATTCATTTCATATCAGCAAAGAGAAATAAAACTACCTTAGGGTGTGAGATTATTCTACAAATGGTGAAGCTGGATAAACAAGTGGAATAGCTGAAGCTGGAGGAATTTAGGAAACTGTTTATGCCATAAACAGCCTCGCCTGAAAACGACCGTGGGTGATGAAGACACTCAACTGATTTAGGTGGCGTGGCTTTCCCCTCTGCAGGGGAAGCCTTCGGGCTGGGGGAACACGCCGCTGCCCGACCCCGGCTACCGGAGCGCGGAGAAGGGTGAGTCAGGGAGGCCAGCGGGCTCCGCCAGGGACAGACGGACAGAGGGGAGTTTCGCACCTCACGGACGCCCGGCGGTCACCCTCGTCCCCACTCACCCAGAGGCTTGATAGTGCTCTCGGGGGACTCCTTGTCCTTGGAGCTGCCGCTCGACATGAGGGCGGCGATGGAGAAGGCGTTGGCTCGGGAGGAGAGCTGCGGCTTGGGGGGCGGCGTGTACTCCATGGCCACTCTGCGGAGAAGCGGCGCGGCTCGGTGCGGCGCTGCCCGGACGGGGCGGGCGTGAATACCGACCGAGAGTGGTGGAGCCGGGATACCGGGAAGCGCTCTGCTCCCGGCGCCGAGCGCTCCCCCGCCTTAACGTGGGGCCGCGGAGATCCTATCGGCCAGCGGCCAATCGGCGCCGGGACACGTCAAGGGCCCCGGCCCGGCCCGGCCCGGCCGCGGGGGAGGGGGCGGAGGCGGGCAGCGGGAGGAGGAGGGACGGGCGGGATGGGAGGGGACGGCTCTGCCAGCCTGTGGGGTGGGCAGGGGGCGGCCAGCCCTCGGGACGGTTCCCCGCTGCCGCTCCCCCTTCGCGCAGCCCAGCCCCGCTCCCCTCCGGGGCCCCGGCTGCGGTTCGGGGTGCTCTCTCTGCTCCTCGAAGCCCTGGGGGCGGGAACGGGGGGGGGCAGGCCGCACGACCGGGGATGCTCCCGAGAAGGTCCCTAGGCTATTCGCTTTGCTGAGGCAAGAATCAGCGGAGAAGCCGTTGAAAGGATGGAAAGAAATTGTGGATTTTTTCTGGTGCGTGCGTGTGAGTGTCAATTTTCTATTTTGAATTCAAATATTAAAAGACCACAACTTTCAAAGCAGCCGTTTTCGTCGTTGTGTGCCTTCTGCTGGGACAGAATGTTCCTTAAGGCTGATCGTGCACTTGGTTTTCCTGCAAAAGATCCCAAATATTATCATCCCGGTCAGACGTACTCTCCCCCACCGACTTCAGGTGAGACCCTTGCTGCGTTCTCTTCCCAGCCAAACCAGTGCGTGGGCCGCTGATCGCACAGTTTTCTTCAAGTCCGTTTCATCGGCTTCACCAAACTAGATGGTATTGATCAAGCACATAAAACAGAGAGAAAGTCGGGTCGGGCTGATAGTGCCAACGAGCAGATTATTTCAAGGCAATGATTTAAGCAAATTGCTCACCAATACTCTTATACACATATAATGTAAGCATACTCCCATAAATAAATTAAAAAAAACCCCAAACAAATAAAACAAAACCCGGGGCATTTAATTAAATTCCTTTAAATGAAAATATGACTGAAAATGTTTGCTCGCTAAAACGACTCACAAGAGGACATGCAACTTTGTCACTGAAGTTCCACCTTTTTAAGCCTAGAACAGAATCCAAGCGTTTTTATCATGCAGGCTTGTGCCGAGAGCCATGACATACCTGGTCAGGTATAGTCTGCGCCACTCCTATTCCTGCTGTATTTAATTAATCAATGTGGAGAAATAATTACTCGGGTCGCCCTTCAGAACCAGTGAAGTGGGGAAGATGAAGTGGGGAAGACGAAATAGTGCTTTATTGCTTTGAGGTCAGAGAGAACCAACTGCAGGTTTGCCCTTTTATTACCTGAATTTGCTAATAGATAGGGTATCTACCACAAACGGGATGTGAAGATTTAGAAGCGCCTGAAGCGTTTGGCAGAGGATTTCGACGTGGCCCACCGTGGTCTGGGGTCCCGGTCTTGCCTCAGGTATAAGCGGGGGAAGAGGGGAGAAAAGGGAGAGCCCGGCCGGCCCCGGGGTCGGAGACCCGGGAGAGCCAGATCGCGAAGCATCGCCTCTTGACACAGCGAAACCGAGACTAACGGTTCTGTCGACATCAACCCGAAGAAAACAAACGAACAAAAAGGCCCCCAAATGCTTTACCGCTTTATCCCAAGGGACATCCCTCCAATTACGGACCCGATTTCCTTGCGGGACAGCCCCGCTCCTCGCGTGCGAGGGGCCGTGGGACAGGGATCCCGAGGGTTCCGGTCCTGCGCTCCTTTGGCCCTGTCTGAAAAGCAGGGTCCGGCCTGGTACAAATAGCCAGGGAAATCATTGTCTTCATCGTTTCTGTGGTGGTGGCAGGGATGCCTTTGATTTCCTACCTACTTTATGCGCCTCACAAATAAGGATAATTAAAAAAAAAAATAAAATAAAAAAGCTCTCTCCTTATTTCCGTCCCACAGCAGCCAGGTCGCAACATACCTCTCCCTAGGAGAGGCTGCCCCTGGCCCTTTGGGGCTAAGGGGAGGGGGCGGCGAGTGGCGGTGGATATTTCGGTCCATATGGAAAGTACCGGCTCAGCCCCCGCAGCTGCGGCAGCCCGGGACCCTTTCCTGCTCTGCCTCGTCGCGGGATTTCCAGCCCTGTGGAGCGGCTGGTTCCTACCTTTATCCGCGAGAGAAGGACTCGGCCGCGGGGCGGGGAAGCGCTGCGCGGTGAGCGGGGCAGGGAGGGTCGGGCGAGGAGGGGAGCAGAGCGGCGGGAGAGGGAGAAACCGAGGCCGCGGCACGGCCGTGGACCTGGGACGGGGCTGGCGGTTGCCTCCGGGCAGGGGCTTGCCCCCCAGGAGAGAGACCGGACGTGGGGCTTGAGGGTCCCTTCTCCTACCTCGGAGATGAAAAACTCGGGGATGAAAGAAACTAGGAGCTTCGTTTTATTTTATTTTATTTTAAACGGGTCCGTCCACTCGGGATGGCTTTTCTTTTGCTTGGGTAAGCCATGCAATGTTTCGCTCTATCCCACGAGAATCTATATTTTTTTAGTTTTTCTCCCGCCCCGCCTCCGATAAGGAAATGAGCCTTGTCTAGACGTCCAGAGCACCCCCTCCTTCCCCGTGGGCAGAGAATGGGGCTCAGCTCTGGCCGCCTAATCCTCGCTACGGCTCCCTCCCCCACCAGATCTGAATTGGAGAGACACGGGGATCAGGGTACCCGAGTGGGAAGGGGGTGAGAGTCTGACTCCCCTGAGCTGCTTTGCCGTCCCTGCCCATGGCCCTCTCCCGGAACGGTAGGGGCTTCCAGAGACGAGGGCGTAGCTGAGAAACCCATCCCTACTCCAGTGCTCTTGGTCCCTCTCTGCTTTCCCAACCAAGTGGACGTATTCAATAACGTCCGCGCGCTCTTCCCGAGGGATGAGGACCGGAGCAGCTAGTCCCTGCCACAGCCGGGCACAGACCGGCTGTCACCGCTATACCGACCCCCTCCCGAGAGCAGAGTTACCAACCCTGCTGCACCCCAACAAGGCGGTTGTCTCGTTTAAATCCGTTTCAATTAAATCTTTCGTTATTGTTTATCCGTACATAAAGAACGCGCAACCTACACCACAGTTTGTTTTCAGTCTAGCAAATCCATGTGTTTGTCGCTAGTGTCAGCCTGCTGTGGCAGAGCCATTTCATTAGGCTTCATTATCCTTTCGAAGTACCTCTTTTCCCATCTTCCTTTGCCTAAAAAACTCCTTACTCTCTTGTGCACCGGCAAAGAAAGCGTGCGGGTAATTGCTGCACACCTCGTCGCGCTCGTTTGATTCCCAGTTTTAATCAGGATTAGGTCTCAGTTTCGCCGTCAGGTTTCACACAGGGAGCTTGCAGCCCCCCTCCAAAACGTCCCTCTGATCCCTGAAAAGCCAAGGAGAAAACGCGATCCCTTGAAAACCATGAGCACCGCTTCTTCCCGGCCCTTTCCTCATCTAGCCAAAATCACGATGGGAATGAGACACGAGAGACAGAAACCCGCAGGAATCCACTGGGAAGCCTGTCGAGCCAGAGGGATGGTTTCAGGTGCACCTTCTAACAAGGGCTCCGACCCTGAGCGTTTCTGCGCGGCCGCTCAGGCCCGGTGGCGGGTGAGGTGTGTGGAGAGGGGCACAGATCGGGCACGGAGCCGCGCTCAGATTTTAGCAAGTCTTTCTCGCAGTGATGGGGGGGGGGGGATTTCCTCTTTTTTATTTTATTTTTTTTATTTCTCTCGCAAAAGCCCCCACACCACACGCTTCACGCCGCAGAGACAAACCTGTAGGCAGTCCCGCTGCGGCACCTGTGGGGCTGTGCCCCTAAAAGGGGCCCGGCACCGAGCCGACCTGACACCCACTCTCTCCCGGCTACCTCTTGGGATAACTTGGCATTTGCATCTCATCCCTTCTCCTCTGTTACTTCTCCATCTCCCATCCGGATCCGTCGTCTGTGCAGAGGGCGAGGGCCACTCTTCCATTTAATTAGGAGCCTACAGGTGCGGTGTGGCCGCTGCCGAGACCCTCACTGCCGCCATCCCGCCCCGACCGATGCTGGCCCGGTGTCGACCGGAGTCTGTGTCTGACCCTCTCTCCCGCAGCACCTCTGCAAGGTAACCTACGGCACTGCTTTGGGCTTGAAGGCACTTCTGCCTCGGGAGAGGACGAGTTAAAATCTTTTGGTTTTTCTTATTTTTACCCCTTGTAGACGAAAACATCTTGTCCTGTGTAAAGAATGGTGTTTATTCGCTCGGGCATGGTCTCAAGCACTCCCGTTCGTGCCTTGCGAGCGCATCGCTGCTCCACAGAGCGACGGCTACAGCGCTCCTCGGCTACAGCTCTGGCTCCTCTGTAACCTCACGGGGTTACGAGCCCTGCTTTCAGGACCTTTTTTCTCCTCCTCTGCACATAATTATATTGCTCTCTCCGTTGGATTCCTCCTCTCTTTACACTCCCCCATTTCGCAGCAGCCCCCTTTCCCAGCGCTCTTGCTGCGGCGGGGACGTCGCCCCCCTTGTCGCCGCTTCACATTCTCCCCTTCACGAAAATAGCTGCACCAGCAAGGCAGAAGCCCAGGTACCCGAGATCCGATTTCACAACAAAAACGTCTCAATGTCACCTACAGTGAAAAGGTGGCTTATTGGAGCAAAATGCGAGGCATTTAAACCCATTAGGCATCTCTCGGATGCAAATCCAATGGTGGAAAGAGAAAGGCTCTATTAAGACCCGAAGGCTGACAATTAGATTATAGCCCAATTGCCAGCGGATAATGTGCTAAAAGCTTTCCCACTTAGTGTAACTCCTCGCTGAAAATTATTCACACTTTGCAGGCTGCCTCGCTCGAGAACGGGAAGCGTCTTTGTCCGCGGAGGGCGCGAACAGCCGGGCATAGCTCGACACCGACACACCGACACACGGACAGATGCACACGCAGGAGGTCTCGCAGCCAGGAGGATCATTAA